GCTCCTAAAGTAAGTTCTACGAAGCAGAGTTATACAGCTCCTGTGGAATGTTGAAAGATATAGAGGACGTGGAAGGATTATATTCTCAACCTTACTTTGAAGCAGAGTTATACAGCTCCTGTAGAATGTTGAAAAATATAGAGGACGTGGAAGGATTATTTCTTCAACCTTACTTTGAAGCAGAGTTATACAGCTCCTAAAGTAAGTTTTACGAAGCAGAGTTATACAGCTCCTAAAGTAAGTTCTACGAAGCAGAGTTATACAGCTCCTGTAGAATGTTGAGAAATATAAAGGACGTGGAAGGATTATATTTTCAACCTTACTTTGAAGCAGAGTTATACAGCTCCTAAAGTAAGTTCTACGAAGCAGAGTTATACAGCTCCTGTGGAATGTTGAAAGATATAGAGGACGTGGAAGGATTATATTCTCAACCTTACTTTGAAGCAGAGTTATACAGCTCCTGTAGAATGTTGAAAAATATAGAGGACGTGGAAGGATTATTTCTTCAACCTTACTTTGAAGCAGAGTTATACAGCTCCTAAAGTAAGTTTTACGAAGCAGAGTTATACAGCTCCTGTAGAATGTTGAAAAATATAGAGGACGTAGACGGATTATACTCTCAACCTTACTTTGAAGCAGAGTTATACAGCTCCTAAAGTAAGTTTTACGAAGCAGAGTTATACAGCTCCTGTAGAATGTTGATAAATATAGAGGACGTAGACGGATTATATTTTCAACCTTACTTTGAAGCAAAGTTATACAGCTCCTAAAGTAAGTTCTACGAAGCAGAGTTATACAGCTCCTGTAGAATGTTGAAAAATATAGAGGACGTGGAAGGATTATATTTTTAACCTTACTTTGAAGCAGAGTTATACAGCTCCTAAAGTAAGTTCTACGAAGCAGAGTTATACAGCTCCTGTAGAATGTTGAAAAATATAGAGGACGTGGAAGGATTATATTTTCAACCTTACTTTGAAGCAGAGTTATACAGCTCCTAAAGTAAGTTCTACGAAGCAGAGTTATACAGCTTCTAACGTAAGTTCTACGAAGCAGAGTTATACAGCTTGTAACGTAAGTTCTACGAAGCAGAGTTATACAGCTTCTAACGTAAGTTCTACGAAGCAGAGTTATACAGCTTCTAACGTAAGTTCTACGAAGCAGAGTTATACAGCTCCTAAAGTAAGTTCTACGAAGCAGAGTTATACAGCTCCTGTGGAATGTTGAAAGATATAGAGGACGTGGAAGGATTATATTCTCAACCTTACTTTGAAGCAGAGTTATACAGCTCCTGTAGAATGTTGAAAAATATAGAGGACGTGGAAGGATTATTTCTTCAACCTTACTTTGAAGCAGAGTTATACAGCTCCTAAAGTAAGTTTTACGAAGCAGAGTTATACAGCTCCTAAAGTAAGTTCTACGAAGCAGAGTTATACAGCTCCTGTAGAATGTTGAGAAATATAAAGGACGTGGAAGGATTATATTTTCAACCTTACTTTGAAGCAGAGTTATACAGCTCCTAAAGTAAGTTCTACGAAGCAGAGTTATACAGCTCCTGTGGAATGTTGAAAGATATAGAGGACGTGGAAGGATTATATTCTCAACCTTACTTTGAAGCAGAGTTATACAGCTCCTGTAGAATGTTGAAAAATATAGAGGACGTGGAAGGATTATTTCTTCAACCTTACTTTGAAGCAGAGTTATACAGCTCCTAAAGTAAGTTTTACGAAGCAGAGTTATACAGCTCCTGTAGAATGTTGAAAAATATAGAGGACGTAGACGGATTATATTTTCAACCTTACTTTGAAGCAGAGTTATACAGCTCCTAAAGTAAGTTCTACGAAGCACAGTTATACAGCTCCTGTGGAATGTTGAAAGAGATAGAGGACGTGGAAGGATTATATTCTCACCTTACTTTGAAGCAGAGTTATACAGCTCCTGAAGTAAGTTCTACGAAGCAGAGTTATACAGCTTCTAACGTAAGTTCTACGAAGCAGAGTTATACAGCTTCTAACGTAAGTTCTACGAAGCAGAGTTATACAGCTCCTAAAGTAAGTTCTACGAAGCAGAGTTATACAGCTCCTAAAGTAAGTTCTACGAAGCAGAGTTATACAGCTCCTGTAGAATGTTGAAAAATATAGAGGACGTGGAAGGATTATATTTTCAACCTTACTTTGAAGCAGAGTTATACAGCTCCTGTGGAATGTTGAAAGATATAGAGGACGTGGAAGGATTATATTTTCAACCTTACTTTGAAGCAGACTTATACAGCTCTTAAAGTGAGTTCTACGAAGCAGAGTTATACAGCTCCTGTAGAATGTTGAAAAATATAGAGGACGTATGAGAATTATATTTTCAACCTTACTTTGAAGCAGAGTTCTACAGCTCTTAAAGTGAGTTCTACGAAGCATAGTTATACAGCTCCTGTAGAATGTTGAAAAATATAGAGGACGTGGAAGGATTATATTTTCAACCTTACTTTGAAGCAGAGTTATACAGCTCCTAAAGTAAGGTCTACGAAGCAGAGTTATACAGCTCCTGTAGAATGTTGAAAAATATAGAGGACGTGGAAGGATTATATTTTCAACCTTACTTTGAAGCAGAGTTATACAGCTCCTGTAGAATGTTGAGAAATATAAAGGAAGTTTGAAAATAGGTTAATAGTGAATCTGAGCCTCCGGAGAAGACTGACAATCAGAATACAAGTCAGAGTCAACGCCAGAGATTAGACTGATTATTCCCTAAAAAGTGGCCTTTTTATATCAATTGATGCCCACTTACACATGATATTTTGGGGTATATGTTCATGAGTTTTGATTGTATTAGTATGTAGACGTGGAACTTTAGTCGTGGCGTTTTTGACGTCAATAAATTTCCACATCTATTATTTCGTAAGATCGTAGATAAGCTAACACGATGAAATCTCGTCCCTTATCTATTGTTTCATGAATAACAATTATGGCCCTATAGGGTCTTATAGTTAACTTTTATTGTTACTGATGGTAAAATAGATTTCTTCTTTTTAAATGGACGAGAAATCATCTAAGTTGACGGTTGTGACAATAGTATATTACGACTCAAGGCCAGAGAGTTGAATTTCGCCTCGGCCATCATATCACACACACCGGGGCATTCAACTTTTTTGGCCGTGTGTCGTATACTATTTTTCTCGATCCCGCCGAAAGTAAGTTCGATAATCACTCGATAAGCTAAACGGTTGTATGGAGGGTGTCTGCCCGACTTTTGCAGAGCCGAAGCGAAGTCGAGGTTTTTGCTGGTCGGGGCAGGCATCAGCAAAAAAGTTTAAAATCAGGAATTGGTTTAAAATTATTTATACATAAATAATAGAAACACCCATTACAGGAAACTCAAATGTTAACCAACAATAATACTATTATATTATGTTTATAGTCTTGTTATAAAATTATCCTACATATTTGATAAAAAGAAATTAAAATTAAAATGGAACGTACAATCGTTGAGTGTACAATTCTCAAATGCAGTAAGGGATTGAATACATCTTTTTTCCTTTATTTATTTCTTATGTTTTATCACTTTGTAAACATATGTAGAATATTCTACGAGTTATTGAAATATTCAACTTATTTTTTATTGCTCATCTGGTTAAAATAAACATAATACTCATGTGGACAACATCCTTAAGCCATTCGTCATCTCCTCAATAGATTAGTTTATGTTTCCGAGCCACAAAAATCTTTCGGTTAATCGAAGTCCGCATTAAATCGAGTAGGCCACAAAAGTCGTTGTTTCGGGAGCGAAATGCGGCCAAGGCTATACTTTCGGCCAGGGGATTAAGAAAAAATTATTTATTACGTTAGGAAATGATGATAGAATAGTTAATGGTAAATTAGAAAAATGATTTGTTTAAAATAAGACATTCAATTTTGTCTATTCAGTTCACTACGTTTCCAATACCACTCAAGTAAATCACCCTTTAATTGTACTGTGTCCTCTCAACACTAAATTATATGATCAATTTCACCTTCATTTATGAATTCCAGAATAATATCAATTATCATGAATAACTATATTTATTTTTACAAAGATTTTTCCGTAATACAATACCAAAAAATATTTTTCACTCATTACACTAATATTTCATCCAAACTGCATTGTGTTTATTCTTTGATCATTCATGCTTAATTCACTCTATTGTTCCTTAGCATTGATGCAAATATTTTAAGTATTTGAATTCAAATAAAAAACTATACCACAGCTAAAATATTTTAAAACACAATTTTACGGTAAAAGCTGTAGTAAATTCCATTGTTATTTAGTCATATAATTTTCGATGGTATTTTGGCTTGAATGACTCCATAAAGTATTCACCCACTCTCTTTATTTCCTAGATTTAACTTAAGTCTGTGTACGAAAAAAATTCAATAAAAGATTTCCAATTATCCTTTTCCAATTTTAAGTTATTTATTTAAGTCGATATATACGACAGTTCGAAATTCGAAATGTAAATTTCTCACCATGTAAAGTTCTTAGTGAAGGAAGAAAATTTACTTTGATAAAATGGGAAAAAGAATCAGATTAATTTTCGGTGTTTCTTACTGAAGTTGGCAGAGGAACAAAAGAAAATCCGTTGAAACAAAATTTAAACTTTAATATTAAAGTAATAAGTAGTAGGCTCGTGTAAATTTGTTACAAGAGTTTGTCGTTTACTTGTAAGTTAGTACGATAATTGAAGAATCTTACAAATCTTCATCCAAGCCATTATTAAAGAGCTAATTAAGAGACTGAAAAAAATAGAATAAAAGAGTTATGATACTCTAATTATAAATGACATTATTTGTTCAAAAATTACTTAAATTATTCGTTGACAATTTTAATAAAAAAAATATGCATACATAATATATTAATGAAAGTGTATTTTTAGTAAACAAGTTCTCAAATTAAGAAAAAAACTATTTAGGGTAAATTACCCTGGGTAATACACACCAATAGATAGACAGTTAAGACTCAAAGACGGAAAAAATATACAATTACTATGCATACAAAATAAATTTATATGAAAAAAGTCGATTCTTTTTTTAATTCATCAGGCCATAATTGAAATACCAAAAAGTATTTAATTATACTTTAATCATTTATAACTTTAACAATTCATCTGTCTTATCAAAAATGTCTATCCATTGGTCTATTTAGTCTAATTACAAAAAAAAAATTTTTATCAGAATAAAAAAAAAACAATAATAAATTAATGATTGAAAAAAATGAACGAGATCATTCATGAAATTATTTATTTATTGGATGTGTATTTTTAATCCTTGTATACTTTATTATCTTGTGTCTGGGGCGAGCTTGTGGGCTTGTCACGATCAGCAGAGTCGGGCTTTGTTGAAGATTCGGCTCGATCATATAGATAGCTCGTTCCCCTTGAACCACCTGGCTGCACGGTGCTGTCATAAAAATAATCTCGTGGTCGATAAGTCCTGTAACATTAAAGATAATACACATGACTTATTAACCCATTTTCCACCTGACTGTTATATATTATCGTTCACTTAATGCTGAATAATCAAGGGTGAATAAGACCTTTTAGAGTGATAAATTGTTAACATAACTTACATCTTCATTTAAAATAGTAGATACTTGATCGTTTGATCGTTTCATCATTTAAATAGAATAGATACATTAAAGGATTTAAGAACTATTGTTATTGTGAAATGTTCATTAAATAATTCAATTAAATGATCCTCTTTACCTACAATAATTTATCAGTGCTATTTCATTATATATTATATGGTACATCAATGTTTAGAAGTTTAATGATGGGTTTTTGGAGCTGCCAATATGGTTTAATATTTTAGTTTATAATTTCTAATCTGGATAAGTCCAGAGCAAATTTATTTGACAGATTTGTAGTTTCCATTAGCGTTAGATTAAAAGGATTAAATGTAAAATATTATTTTCAATTTCGTGCATATTACTCACATTTAATCAATACATAAAATAGTCATAATTTTTTCATTATAAACTCACCCAGAATCTCGTTCTCTATTTAAGTCTTTCCAATTATCTCTAAAATAAATGACGAAACTAAAATTAATTTCCATAAAATTGAAATTTATGAATATAAATATTTTTATTCAAATTACCCAGGATCTCTCTCTCGTCCGGGATTTCTCCATGCATCTCTATGGCCGCCCATATAATTCCAGGCACTTGCGTAACCTCTTTCATAACTAGGACCCCAAGCACTGGAAGAATAGTATCCGTAATCAGCTCCATTTCTCATTGGGTACCTATCGTACCAGTCGTATCGATCGTCGTACGGTCTTCTGTAACCACTTCTATCATAAAAATCATACCGATCGTAGTCATATCCTCTGAAAAAATAATACTTTCAGTGACTTGAGTGATAAAAAACTTCAACCAAGAAATTAATGGTTGAATTAATGACTTACCGTGGGGGATAATTGCGATTATAACGATCATAACGACCATAAAGATCGTCTATAGGACGTCGAGGTGAATCATAAGGTTCGTATCGATTTCCATAACCTAAATGGCGTTGATCCAAGTTGTCGTAACCATTGCCGCGGTCGGCGAACCGATCGTAGTTGCGGTCATATCTCATGTCATAGAACCGATCTCGGCCTAAATGCATATCGTACCTAAAACACCAAATAGCTGCGTTAAATGTTTTATTTAACCTTTGTTTAAAATTTCTTCACATAGTTATTTACATTTACTTCATTACATATTCAGTTATCATCGGTTATATCACTGTTCCCATTTGTTATTTGCATATTTTCCTCTGAATTGCTGAGGTCAAGTTGAGTTAAGTGAGTCATTTGCAATTGCCGATGATCGGAGGTAGAAATAATTAGTGAATAATTTCCAAGCGATTAATTGTTTTTTGAACATGTCATGGAATTTTAATTGCAGTTATTCTATGTATTTATGCAATCAATGCTGATTTAATCAATAATGAGTTTAAATGAGATAACATTTGAGGGTTTTTATTCATCTAAGATATGCTTTGGTTTGATTGTTAAGTTATGTACTTGTGAAGAAAATCTCTTGATTAGTTTAACTAGATTATAATTACGATAAACCAAATGAAAGAAGAACGAGACTGGAATATCAATATTGAGGACTATCTATATTTTAGAATCTTCATTCAATTATTTTTTCTTCTTTTTATTATTATTTTTAATCGAAGAGTATTTCACTGATATTCAGATTCTGTTCTTATGAAAATGTGGAAATAAGTTATCTAAATTTAACTTTAAAATTAGTCAACTTTTTATTTACTTAAAAGTTTTTTTTAAAAATACTACTTTAATAAAGCTCAAATGGATTTTTTATATTTTTAATAAGTTTTTTTTTTATATAAAGAATTATAAACTTAGTTAAAAATTTGTTTTTTAATCAAAATTTATCGGCCAAAAACAATGCAATTTCTCAGATTTAATAGTTTGGAGTTGCTTGAGGTCAATTTAATCTCTTATGCACTCAATGCGCTTGTATGAAGAGGCGGATTTCGAGGGTCAGTTATGATGCATATTAATATTAGTATTGTTAGGATTTTAATTGTTTAAAATTATAATAAACATACAGGATTATTAGATTGCATTGTTTTGATTGTATAAACTCAATAAATCTTTCAAAGTAGTTTATTTTCTGTTTAATTAAAAAAAACCTTCTTTTTTAAGTACAACTTACTTTTCAATTCATGTATATCATTTTAATTTTCAAGGTAATTGAAGTATGAAGTAAAAATATTCGAAATTTAATAAAATTCGGAAATATGTTCATGTTTCATTGTAGATAAGATAGAGAAAAGACGGGATTTAAATTTGTGTATACTGATAGAAGAGATTGTTAACTATCATAAAGATTTATTAGTTGATGATTAGAAGATGATGTTAAATTTCATGCACGTTATATTAATATTTATTAAACTAATTGTTTTATTTTGTTAGATATTATATTTGACTTTTTTGATCGACTTGAAATTAGATGTCGTTGTAAGTAAGACGTTCAATACAATTTAATTTTTAAAATTTTTAACCCTATCGAAAGGCCATGTTTAGGTGATATATTAAATTATTTCTTGATTTATTATGCGATTTTTTGACTAGATATTATCTCTCATGAATTTCCTCCAAGTTATTTTTTTCTCTATTCACTAATCTAATTTCGTCATTGATTTTGATTATATTGGTTTTAGATTTATGTTTGATGTTTTAGGTTTCGTTGATATGAGAAAAAGTGAGATAAAATGTGTATTTATTAATTTAGAAATCTGTTAAAATTGTTACAAAATATTTCTTCAATATCAAAAACTAATTATATTGTAACCAAAGTTCAATATTAAAAAAATATTTATTGACCGTTTAAACAAAGTGCTTCCTTCTGATTATAGATCTTTTCTATCAGTGTACGTAAATTAAGAACATGACTGGCTTAGCAGTTTTAGAAAATGAGATTTAGGATTTTTTAAAACTGTTTTTTCTCATCAGCAGAACAATCAATTGTTACAAATTTGTGAAATTAAAAAAGGAACGTGTTCTACTGCAATACATTAATATCTTCAGTAAATTAAGTTATCTAGCTAAAAATAATTGCAAGAATACTTTATGTGTATTATTTTAATACACTTTAAAAATCTGAGGTGACAAAAAGAGACTGAAAATCGAATTGTAGAGAACGTAACAGTGTTCAACATTAGAGAAAATAATGTTAGTATTACTGTCAATGAAAACTTTTGTTCTTACCTGTCATGATAAGGCAGTGGTCTCATTAAGTCGGTCTTCATCTGTGGTTCATATCGATCAAGATCATAAATGGGTCGTCCTCTACTGTACTCATAACCAGGTTCCTTCACACGATCATAATCAAGCACGGGTCCCCGAGGTCGTTCATATTCATAACCCCTAGGTCTATCCGGTTCATAACGATCACGATACCGGCGAGCATCAAGATCATCATCATAATAATCAAACGGTCTAGGTTTCGGTCTCCATCTAAAAAATATTTTCAATTCCATTACTAACAAGATACTAAATCTCAAAAGTCTATCATCTAGAGTAGTGAAAATAATTTATGTCTTACCCTCTGTCATGAGAGACAGATTTATTGGGATCACAAGTTATACAACGGGATTCGTAATAAGCAGCATCTCGATGCTCAGGTTCAGCAGCACGAACCCCAATGGCACCGGAAGTTACCGAAGAACCCTCAGCGCCATACTTGCTAGCGTAATAATGCTCTGAACGAGCTTGACGGTACAAATTGCCGAGAATAGTGGCCGCAGAGGGAGCTGGGCTTGATTCTTCCGTCACTCCGCATTTTATCAGACCTATTATCACGAGCAGTGATGTTTTTATCTGAAAAATTAAAATTATTTTACAATGTCACGTAATATGAGAAAGAAAAGTTCGTTTTTTTGCAACCACGACACACTTTTCTCCTATTTTCTAAACTCACGTATAGGATTTTATTTTATCAACACCATTATCGAATCTTACGATATTTTTATCTCGAAAAAAGTTGCGTTCACTTTATTCTTTACCACGTAATAGTGAAATTAATTATGTTTATTTTCTCTATAAACTTGTTATTTTCCATTTTTTAAATTTTTTACAATGATTTAAATCGATAACGAAGAGTTATTGAACTGATCAATGTGATTATGTAATAAAACAGTGTATACAAAACAGTTCAATAGCGAAGTAAGCTAGCAACGTTTTGCGTGAGTTTCACAAAAGCGCAATTACGTTGTTAACATGGAAAAGTTCAAAGCTTTCAAGTTATACATTGAAACAACTCTGTTGAGTACATGAGATCACGGAGGTCATATATATAATTATTGACAGTCTTTTGCAGTAATAATAAACTAATTAAAACTCCAAAAAAAATTTATGAAAAGTCCAAGAATAAAAGATACTTCATTTATAATATAGACGTAAATTTTATTCTTTTAAAAGTTTCAATGAAGCTCCGGTGAATCATAATAATAAAGGAAAGAAATTGAAATATTAAATAATATTGTCTCAAAGGAGAGTATAGTCAGGCATCATTTGACATTCATTTTTCTGGCAGCTCGCAATATTATTATTCATAAAGTTGCCCTTTTGAAACTACTTCCTCATTTCCTACGTAAAACTTACTCTCAGACTGATTTATGAAACGCCCTTGTGGTTCGTGTTAATGGATAAGTCACGATTGCGATTTGCATTTTATAATTAAATACTATTCACTATAAAACATTAAAAATTAAATTTCATAATAATTTGAGAACTACATCGCTTATATTTAATCAAATCATGAATTTACGAATTTTATTATTATCAAATAATTTTATGTTACGCTGTAGAAAGTATTTTATTGAATAAATACATGAACTTTGTAAATTTTTTATCAAATGCAAACAATATATCTCAATAGTTAAATGAAAATTCATCAATGCGTATTTTACCATTGCATAAATAGTTGAAATATTTTTTAATGAATAATTGAAAACTATATTGTAGTTTTAAGGTTGTTTTATAATATATTTAAAAAAATGCTTCTAAAGTCATTTAATTAGAATTAAGTGTTTCTACCCGGAAAAAATTGCAATAAATTTTAGTATATCGGTTTTTTATTTTACCATCCTGCTAGTTCATGGTCTATTTTTTTCCTTTTTTTGTTAATAAAATATATCGAATTTAATAAATACACAAATAATATACTTTTTTTATTACACAACATTATTAGCATTCTAAAAGCGTACTTTAACAATGAAAGATTTTTTAGATAATAGAATTTAATGTTCCATAAACTTCATTGTTTTTCAATATTTTTCATCAAAAATCTGTACATTTTATTAGCAATGTAGCATATTGTGAAAAATATTTTTATAAACTTTATTATTCTCTATATAATGTTGTCCAGCATATTCTGAAATGCTCGTTAAATAAAAAGTTCATAACCATTTACTGAGAATTTTCACTGAGGTAATTACAGTAAACAAAAATAATAAATTTTTATAATTGAAAAATAAAAATAAAATTTCTTAAGCTCAGAGCTGCTTAATCCCGAAAATAGTAGTCACATTTTTTCATTACATATTACTATAAGATAGAGAAATCCGTGTGAACATAATTATACCGCTCTGAACGAAAAGAGGTTTATTCGGACGTCCGAGCACAACCACACCCGCTTTCCTAACTCGAGGGACGACGAATTAATGAAGCGTTTACGCTTTGGAGGTGCGCTACGAAACTCAATTAACCCGACAAAAGTAAAGCGAATTTGCATTTAAATCTTAAATACCCACGTTAGCGAGACTGTGTAGCTTTTATTCTCTTGTGGTTTCTTTTCAAACTGAGCGTTATCTGTCTTGGTAACTATAAACCGCGTTGAATTTCAGTTTAAAAAAATATATATATATACATATGCAGACAAATAACTGAATTTGATTTACATTTTTCCGTCGATTTATGTGAATTTATTCAAAGTAAAAAATTTTTTACGCTACTGGTTAATTTCAAAGAGTTTAAGGCCCATCGCGCACGTCAACACGTTGGCAGGTTTTGCTTTTACTTTTCTCCACCCCACGAAGCTCTCATTCATTCTCTTTTGTGATGCTAAACCCACTGAGAGATTAATGGAATATAGTTGAAAGCAGCAGTCACTATCATCATTTTAAACCCAACAATGCAAATCGATGCTTTCTCTTTTATCCTTCGTGTTTAGAAAATGTTTATACACCACATCAATGAATTGAACATTTTGCGTATACATGAATTTGTCATACCAATAGAAGTTCATGGCTGAAAGAAAAACAGGTGTTAATGGGTGACAAAAACTACAATCAAATTATTGTAACGAGAAAATTAATAGTAATTATGATTTTTTAAACAATTGCATTGTTAATAATTTTTGTAACGATGTTATTACAATGGCTTATAGTTTGTGATTGCTATTCATTGACGGTTTGACTCCTTGAAAATAGTATTATTATAAAAAACCATGTTTTTTATTACGATAAAAACGTCAAATGAATGTTCATAACAGTTGAACCCTTTGAAATAAAACGTTTGTCCATAAAAATGATATAATATCCATCAATTTATAATTTTAATTAAAATTGATAAACTCTTTCAGCACTTTAGCTGTCGTTAAAAAACATCAATAACAATAAAGGTTGGTAGAATGATAAGTATGAATTAGAAAAAAATTCAGATGGTTGAAGTAGAATAAGAATAGAGGATTTAGTAGAAAATAATAGAGATTTCAATTTAATTTGAGAAGCTTAATTTTCGTCTCCATTAAGGAAATGATTTCTTTAAGTTGAAGGTGAAGATAAAATTGAAATTCCTTGAGGTACTTCAAAATAATATTAAAGAACCAATTAGTAATTTATTTAATGTCAAATTGTAGTAATTTGTGAAGTTAAAAATATCACAGAAAATTTCATTGCATATCAAGTTCTACGATATGTTAGACTTTCTTATATATTTTAGATAACTTATTCTACATTTTGTCAATAAATAACTCAAATTGTTTTCCAATCTTGCATGTTTTCCTTTCAATTATAATAAAGTTTTTCGAGATTCTTTTTCTTTCTTTATCAAAGAAGCAACTATCTTACTTAGAGTAGAAATTTTAGTTGATTTCTCATTAGCTCCAAATAAGATTTTCAAAATTCATTATTAAAACCTTATTGATTGTTAGTCATCTTAAAGTTTTAAGTGGGGAGTTCTCGTTCCTTTCTAACTATTCTCTCTAATATACCCTGTAAAAGGACCTTCCCTTAAACAACAAATCAGATTAGACCAAGTTCTTGAACTGTCAAGAACTACCACTTTCAAGTGTTGAACTTGTATCGACTAAAATCTTCACAGTAAATCCATATGAATTGAAATAATACACTAAAAGTACATTTAATGTTGGAGTTTTTACTTGTAAGCTGTAGTTACTTTTTACAAAGTTTTAATTTTTTTAATTGGTTTATGACAATTACTAAACACGACTTATGTAGGCTACTTTAAGGTACTTTAAGAATGTTTAAACTTAACAGTCAGTGTATTGGTGGTTTATTTTTCACTTAACTGTCAATAATGTAAACTTTCCACTCATTGCTAATTTCGATTTTTAGAAGTGTTTCATTTAGAGGATTTAAAAACGTTGAAATATGTCTTAGCTCATTTGATTCACACAATATTATAGTCACTTTCTATGTATTTTAACGTGTATATGATTAGTAATGTTAAAAGTCAATTAATAAAAAATTTCTTATTTTTTTCCAAGTAAAAATCTGATAATTTTCTTAATTCTCTCAAGAGTAGCTTCATCGATTCCGCTTAAAATTATATCAGCTTTCAGAGGTACTTTCAGTTATATAGGAGAAGCGAATCAAAATCTATCAATCTGTTTCGTAAATCACTGTAAATCCAAGTGCATTCTCGTTACACATCTGAACATGTTAAATATGACATCACTCATTCGATTAAAATTGCAGTCACTTTTTACACACTTCAGAATGCATTAAATGTGACTACAGTACTAATCAAATGGGTGACGTCATATTTAACACATTTAGATGTGTAACAAGAATGCACTTGGATTTGGAGTGATATTATTGACAAAATACTTTTCAAGAATAGTAAGATTGATTTTAGCAAGTGAGGTAGCAAACAATACATTTCATGGTTAGTTCATAATAGCATAATAAATGAAATCAATATAATGAAGCAAAACTGACCTATTCTGATCCTACATTAGATCGAGTATAACTGGAGTAGCCCAGTTATAAGCGGAGAATATACCAGCTTAGTTTTACACTAGAATAGTAAGAGCATCAGGTGAATAATTTGCCAACAGTTGAAAATGTTAACAAAAAAGTACTTTACCATCAAGAAGGACAAATTTACTGAAAAGCAATTAATTATCGTATTTTTCAGTAAATAATTGAAAGTTGAAGTGCAAATATTGCACAAAGTATTAAACATATTTACTAGAGAACAAAGAAGAATAGAGTGTCAGGTATTTATTTTGGAATCTTGTTTGACTACGAATTAGTGAAGCTAAAAGTTGTATAAGTGTGACAGCAGTTGAGAGAAAATTTTCCAAGAAACTTTCGTGATTAAATTGACCAGTTCGATTAGCTGATAATGAGCAACCAATAGAAACTTTATGCAAGGAAATTCTTCATGCAAAAAATTAATCAGATTGTCAGCAAATACAGAATATACTAAGAAATATAAAAGAAAAAGGGGAAATATCTTAAAAGTTGTGCAGATCTACTTAAAGTTTTACCTCTAGTAAATCTTTTCAACCAAAAATGACTATAAATAAAATAAAAAATAATGTTCCAAGTTAGAAGAGAGAAAAAGGAATATTTAAAAATAAAAAACACAAGTAAGCGTATAAAATTTTTACTGCTTGTAGCCACGGTTTAACCCGAACACTGGAGAAATAAATCACAAAAGCGAATGAGTCAGTTGGTATAAAGGAGGAAGTAGCCGGCGGGAGCAAAATTTTTCTCTCACTTAGATTTTTTAGCTCGTTCGGGTTTTTGGTTTGCCCGTTGTGGTTGCGGTTCAAGGCACTCCATTAGCCGGTGCCAACGAAATCTCATGTATTTGCCCGCCAGGTAAAATAATAAGAGCGGATGTGACGTCACTGCGTGAGTGAAAGAAAGAATGGGTAGTATGTACTGGAGTTACATGTACGTACAATGGCTAGTTCACAGCAAGAGAACTGTTCTACGGCCAATAGTTCACCTGCCCATTATTCTCACCACAATGTACTTCCTTTTGTCAAAATACCGTGAGCACCAGTACGCTGATTATTATTTATTATTAAATACGAGACATCACTACTATCATCCTTTCTGCTTTTCCACTTTTTCATTTCCGAAATCCATTTCATCCATAATTTACTCTTACAAAAATGCTAAAATATATTCCAGCCAGAATTATTTTCTGCAAGATTTACAGTCAAGTGTTACCCTAGAATGGAAATACATTCTAATTATTCCACTCGTTTTTTGCTGCTAAAATTATTTTTTTATTTTTCCCCTTTTTTTTATGTTCAATGTCATAAATAAAATGCTTAATTATTCGAGTTACTCTGACGTGAAAAAAAAAATCTGACAGCGTAAAAAAAATTTTTAAAAATTTTTCACCTTTTTTTTAATTACAAAAAAAGTTCAATAGTAATACACACTAATAAAATATTTGAGTTTATATTGGAATTTCCGTTTCACATATAAAGAAACATACTCTACGGATGGCTGAACGAGTTCACTGAACAATGTCAGTTGTAAACTCTACAAGTATTTATAGCTAACGTTTTTTATCTGATAGCTTGTAATAAAAAAACCATTTGTTATACTGATGACGATAACGATGAATAATATTATTCTTGTTAACTGCTTTATTTTACAACTCAATTCTTTTACTAGTATTTAACAGCAAACCGTTTGGTCATTGGATGACGGACATTAGTGTTACCTAAACAAAACTCAAAATGACAGAAAACACTTGAAATAACTATTCAGAGCTTGCAGAGAATACTTTGCGTTACAAACTACCAAGTAGCTTCTAAAGTGAAGAAAAAATATATAAAAGCCGAAACGTTTCGCGTTTTATTCAGGAGGTTTTTTTTTGAGAATCGATTAGTTTACTTTTCCACACGATACGGGCATTCGAGTACGAATAAAAAGTAATGGCACCCCTATATAGAGTCAGCCACACTCTGAAGTACGAAGCTTTCTTGCTGGCGATTCTTAACTGCAAATACTGGTCGGTGTTTTCACCCCTCATTTGATTGACTTAACAACAATTTAGTGGTAACCTTTAAATAATGACTCGTTTATAACTTGAGTTGTCGAAATAAACGTTATCATTAAAAGAAACGTTTCAATTAACTTTGACAAGTGGAGTCTAATTGATTATTTGATTCTCGAAATTCGACAAGAAAACATCGATATCTATCTCGTCCAATAGTTTGTCTTCGTTCTACCGACTGCAATTGACTCGGCGAGTTCTCGATTAATCTTTTACAGATTGAAAAATTGCAAAGATAATGGAAAAGCTAATTCTTTTACGCTCCCTTGGTTCTAAGAACATTGTAATATACTAAGAAATTCTTTGCTCCATTTGATCAAGATAATTAAAAAATGTTGGACGGTTTTTTATACTTTTGAGTAAAGCACAAAATTAAACATCCACAAATTATTTCTTCAAGTCTGGTGAGCTTAAATACTAATCTAGGATCAACGTCTAAGACTTTAGACATAATACAATTTCGCATTTCTTCGTTACTTGAGTCTTGTCAGCATCTTGTGGCATTTTTAGCCCAACAGAGCTATTTGTTTCTTCTTGGCTAATTTTCAAAACATTTTTATACTTTTTCGGGATAAAAAAAATGAATTGCAAGTTTTTATTAAATGGTGTAATCCAATGCAAAATTAAATATCTGCTGGTTAATTCTTCAAATCGGATAAGCTTAAACACTAATCTTGGATCAACGTTTCAAATGTAAGACAGCTTTACATTTCTTATCATCATCTTGTGGCTTCACTTGACCAACATGAGGTACTTATTCATGTACTACTCCCCGTGAATGCTAGAATTTATCTGAAATCTAATTAAAATGAGTACTAGTAGATAATCCCCTGAGATTCAAGTGTTATATCGAGTTTAATTCGATACAAATTGACTATAGAAACTTGAACGATAAATTCTCTTTGAAGGGAATCGAGCTCAATAATTGATCAATAAATACACGTGGTATTTGTGGATAAAATTTTTTTAGCAAAAACAAAACTCACCATAAATGTTCCATTAAATCTTCGAAGTTTATACAGCCCTTTTCTACTTGAAACACTATAACAACCCATGGTTGCACCCACATGCGTACACGTTCGTAACTTTGTACAGTTTGAACAAGTTTCAATTCAACGCAAGTTATTTTATAGCTTTTGTTGACCTTGCTTCTCGTGGATAGATTTCCTGTACTGGCCCCCTGCTCTCCGGGAATACAGAAATATCAACTTCAAACATCACCCTCTCGTTCATGCGCCAACCCAGCCGTGAAAACTCGTTTCGCTGTCTCGACCACGACGGAAGAGACTCAAACGTCACTTCCATCCCTCATAATTCTGAGACGTACATGGTTATTATTCTATTAAATATTTATTAAGTCAATTGAGATTTGATTTTATCATTATTATTACGTAAATAATTAATAGTTTGCTAAGAAAAATCCGAGTAAATCTTCTTTCATAAAGGATTTAATTAAAGATACATTGTTTTTTTCTCAAAAAGCAAAATAAGTGTATGACTTTGAATGATAAGTAGATTTTTTTTTTAGTTTATTTAGAGTTATTATCCTCTTTAAAATTTTTGAAATATCATTGTGAATTTAAGTTTTAAATATTAGGGTGAATACTCTCAGTCATGAGTTTGTTTGATATCAACATTTCACTGTTTGCTTGACAAGTTGTTGAGCATTTCCGGGTGTCAAGTTGAAGAATTTTGATATTACGGAAATGATATAATTTTTTATTTCATGTTTTTTTTCAGCTTTAATTAAAATTTGTCTAAAATTTCAGGCACAAACCTTATTATATGTAATTCCTTTCATTAGAGAAGTAAGAGATTTTACATGTTATGTTGGAGCATCAGAATTTTTGATTACATACTTTTTACTATATTTAAAATTAAAAATGCTAAAAATATAAAAGCTGAGATAATGTAAAAAGCAATTTATTATTTTATGAACAAAATTTTAATAATTGCAGATTAAGTAACTAAGGGTTATTAATTATTATTTTTTTTTCAATAATCCAGTAAGAACGTTTCTCTTAGTTTGCTCAGTTTGTAATCGAAGTTTAGGACCTCTGTATAGTTTGTTACTCTTCTTATTCAGTAATAATAAACACATGTTGCGAATTCAAGTGGGAGCCTATTGGAAGTTAATTATTACTGAAGTTAAGGCGCTATTGCACTATAAATCTCAGTTTTCCAAAATGCATTATTTTAATGCGGATAAGTGTGTTAAGTATTACGTCACCCATTTGATTAACATTGTAGTTACTTTTAACGCAGATCTAAGTGTGTAAAAAGTGACTACAATGTTAATCAAATGGGTGACGTCATACTTAACACACTTCTCCGCATTAAAATTAAGCATTTTAGAAAACTAAGATTCATAGTGCACTGAGGGAAAAAAATTTTTGTTTCAATGAAATGCTTCTTTGAATAGAATCTATAAAATAATTAATTGATTTAAAGAAATGTTTTTTATCAACAATAAGCTGATATTGTACCGAATAAATCTAGTTTTGGAACAATATCAGCTTTTCATAATTTGTATTCTAATAAAGATTTTTTTTTTAATATTTTTTAATTAATCTATCCTCTGTAGCGTTCAAATGACTAAATATGATATAAATACACTGAATTTATAGTGAATCGATTTAAAAAATCAGTTAAAAATAACAATAGTAATAAATGAGTAATTATTTTATTTGAGTTAATTGAATATTAACTAATTAATGTGAATCATTTTACTTTGGAAGATAATTTTTTCAAACATTTTTGATAAAAGTATAAATCTGCACTCAAATAAATTAATTATCTTTAATAAAACCATTTATCTGATAGTTAATAATTTATTTATATTTCACTAAAAAATGATCTTCTACATTTAATTTTTAAATTTATAATGTTGAATATTCCACATCAGTCAGAAAGTTTACACTATTGTTTTTCAATTAAAAAAACAATTGATATTCACATTCTCTTTTAATACGATTCATTAGTACATTAATATGTTACATGATATTTGATGATTCACCGAGATCAAAGTCACACGAAATATTTATTTTATTATTAGTACTCATGTCTACATGATTATATAATTATAAAATCCATTTATTTATAAATTGGGAATTTTTTAAAAACTAGTTTTCATCTACTAATATAATGATCAAATGATAAATTTATTTGCTCAAAAAGCTATATTTCATTTAAATAAATTCTGGAAAAAATTAAATCGTTTATTCACCAGCACAAATCGCTAATAACTATTAATCTATATTTCATCAAATCAGATTCATCAAAAGATTTTTTTTTCATGAAAGAATTTTTAGTTTTATTTAATCAATGTTGTTTTATTTATTTTCAATTATTCAAACATTTTTCGTTCCTTTAATATCATAAAATTTCTACTCTGTAAAAATATCCAATATCACTCCAAATCTCTAGCATACAAATGTATCCTTGGCATATACATTTATTCTCTGGTTGTCAATTATTTGATAACACATTTTTGCAACTAATTCAATCAACATAGTTGGAGAATATGGGTCTGTGAAAATAATTTCATTATCCTTCACCAACAGAGGAATGTAATATAAATTCAGAAGTAATTCCGAAATATTATGGTGATTCGATTAGGTATTATTAAATTCATTTGTTTGTATTAATTGGAAATTGTATTAAGGGACGTACAATGACTGTCATAGAGAAATTAGGAAGTGACTTGTCGAATGTCAAAGTTTGAAAACGGAAATGCGCACTGCGACCACGGGCTACCTATGTTAGCAAACTGGTTAAGCAGGTTACCGAATTAGAATAGGATATTGGCAGGAAGTCGGGGCTACAACTCTCGGGAATTATGTTGGGAATTCGCGAATACAGGAGGGCGTCACGCTTGGCGCCTCGGTGCAACTAAATTCCAACACTATACTTGACCGTATCGAGTTGTAAGCCATGAGATTGCTATTCTATCTTGCAAATATATCGCACTCAAAGGTTCACTGAGCCATTCAGAATATCTTAATAAAAATTTTTCAATAAATTCTTCGTTAGAACAGCTTTAAAAAAAAATCCCCTACAGGATTTCGATTATTTTCTCATTTATTGTCTAAGGTATTTCGGATGATATGGGCAGGGATCAAGAAAATATTTAAAAGAAAATCAATATTTCAAAATAAAATAGCTGAAATTATAATATAGGTTAGATTTTTTGTTTCCTTTTTCAATAAAAATGAATTTTTTACTACCGATAAATTTGGTTAGTATCTGATATTGAAAGTATTTCTATTTTAATTTATCCTTTGGTAAAGTATGTATAATTTATTCTTTATTTTTCTGAAAAAGACTGAGAGTGAAGCTTAATACAATTTTTATTATTTTCGTATTGAAATTTCTTGAAATAATTAATTGAATATCGGGATAAGTATAAGATTAAAAACAATATACAGCTTTAAGATAATATGTAAAATTATTTACTTTTACGATTGTTGTATTAAAAATGAGTGATGAAGTTTGAAAAAATTACCATCTAAAATACCCTCATTAAAAAGTGACTCCAAGAATTGGATAACAATTATAGAATATTTATGTACAGTTACATGATTTACAACAATAGTTTAACTGTTTTGAAATAAATTTCCACTTTATTATGAATGACACACTTTAGGAGTATTATTTTTTTTATGGTGGAAAGCAAACTGCACTTTTTGTTTTCTTTTGTTTACCAACATGTATTGCTTGTGCTACTTTATTATCGAATTATGATTATATTACTGATGATAATCAACAAAAGCCAGGTGAGCAAGCGTGACGCCGTTTTTTTTCTCGACTGTTTTTCTGTTTGATTTGGAGGTCAGAGGAAGTGAAAATCTTGCCTCTTCCACCCGGCTATTTTCTTTCGTTGGATGTTAAGATAAAAAATTAGCCAATAACTAAGATTCATAAAATAAATTTATTAGTTATAATAGTTGTAGTCATAAAGTCAACCTTCTCTATGTCATGAGAAATAATAAAATGTTAAAAATTTCAGCTGATTTATTAGCTAGTAGAGTATCGTAATGCTCAACGTTCTACAGGGTGTGATATGCTGTTCGCTGTTCAACTTCCGTTAAAATTTATGATGCTCTCGAGGAACCAGGGACGATTGCCGTGAAATTTGTGAGCACAAGCACTTTCTTCTACCTATAAAAGCATGTGATCCTTTTTTGGCTATATTTCGATGCTAAATGAATAATAAAGAAGTTACAAGGGTTACTTTTTTTTTTTAATTGAATTAGAAAAGAGCTTGGAGCGGAATTAAGACAAGCAGAATAGATGATGATATTATTTTTAAAATGAGGTAATTAGTTAGTCAGAAGAGTATTTACTGTGACGAAATTAAAAATGTTTTCATTGGTTTCGTATATTTTGAAGCTTACTAGCTGTAATGAGTAACAATAGCCATGTTTAATTATAACGGAAGTCCTTTTAATTTGGTTTGAAAAGACTTTCGATTTTTTAATTTTACATGACCTGGGTGTGAGATCCCGAGTTACTAGTGCGAATCAAAGAGAATTTATTCGTATATTAACAAGCTCGAAATAAATGGATTTTTTGAACTGAAAATTAGATAATTTAAGGATTTGTTGGACTGAAAATGCACTTATAGGATTCATTGATTCCACTAGTTTTTTTTTTTTTTTGGAAAAAATATTTTAAAAAATAAAATCGGATTTGTTAAAAAAGAATTCATTAATTAAAAATTCAGTGAAAGTAGTGTGTAAGAAATTGAGTTGCCTAATAATGCCGTGTTCATTGTGAAAAATTTTTTTTATTGATAGTTGTGCTTCCAAGTCGAAAGTGACGTTTTTTCTTCAACGGTCAATAACTTTTGTGAAAAAAGCCTTTACAGTATGCGGTGGGAAAAATATTTGTGTAGACGGATAATCTTCATAATGTTTGACTACGATTTTTTTCAATAAAAAGTTATTTATTCCTCTGTTGCTAAGAATATTGAAACAATAAATTATTGTCCAGTAAAAATTCTTATACTTTAATGCATATAATTTTAAAAAATCTATAAATGAAAGCTTTTTTTCATGTTAATAAGTACTTTAAAAAATGAAA